ATATAATTTTATTTATATAATAATTTATTGTAATATATAAATATAAACCTTTCCTAAAGGTTTGTTTTTCCCAGCAATAATCTGCTTCCCTTCAGAAACAGATACAAAAACCTCAGTGAAAACACTTCAGATTTATTTTAAAGCCGGAGTTTGAAACAGTTTCATTACTGAGTGGTGGTATTATGACAGTATAGATAATTCATTCCTCATTCAGTTTACTTCCATTCATTTGCATAGTGCAATCCTTTTTAGTTAAAATGTTATAAAACTTGTCTCAGGGTTTTGTCACACTTTTAAAAAAGCATCTTATTTTACAGCTTAGGCATCTAAAACGTAAAAGGAAAATGCAGCTCAGATGACATCAAAGTTGCTAAAGTTTCTGTTCTTACTGGTATATACATAACCAAATTGAATTTGGTTCTCTAACAGGGACTCCAAACCCTTTCTTGCTGAAATGGAACGTTTGCCACCTGCCCAGCTTTCCTGCGTCACACGTAGCAGGATTAGAGATTGCATCTTTTATATGCAGTATTTTGTACGTAAACACCCCGGCACCCAGTATGACCCGGAGAGAAAGCCAGCAGACGTTCAGCCTCAGCCTTCAGCGACGAGAGCTGACCGAATCCATGTGCCCAGAGACCGGGCATCCTGGGTTCACGACTGTCCCAGGTGACGTGCTCCTACCTGGTGCATCTTCCTTGACACATTACAAGAGTTAATAAAAAACCCCAAACACCAAGAAGCCCCAAGTGAAACGCAGTCGTACCTGAGCGCCACGCGTGGTACCGTGTACGGCGTTCAGCGGGAGGGAAACTCTCCAGAGAAGTTTCAGTAAACGTGCAGCCTCTTCTAAAATCTGCTGTACTGTGTGAATATCTGTAGTAAAGCTAGGCAGTGATGCCTGGTCTGGTACCTGTATCACAGGATTAGAGACGTGTTACATTTGATGCTTAAAACGTTACGAAAACGTAACCTTAATTAATGGTTTGAAGGCAGTCGGTCTGATTTCATATTTAAGATTATGTACACAGCAATGGTGTGCCACAAAAGCTAATGTGTGAGTTTACAAAGACTGCTGAATTATGCATTATCTGAGAATTCCGGGAAGGGAGGGGATTTATCCTAATCAATAACCATGATTAATAATAGATTATATTTACTAGATTTGCTGTGCCACATGGTAAGAGTTGGCAACTCTCTTCTTTCTCCATTTGCATTTCGTGTCACGTAATTTGAAAGTCAAATGATTACAGACATCAATTTAAGCAATATAGATGTTTCTTCCTTAGCAGACCCTTTAAACTGTTCCATTTAATGCTAAAATAACTATCAGGACACACATAAAATGTTTTCCTCTGCTGACAGATGAGAAAACCAAATTGAAGAAATTGCATAAATGTGAAATAAAGGAGGGGAAGAATGCAGGGGGAGCAAATGAATTACCAAAGCAATGGCGATACAGAAGGGGGCAGGGTAATGAAGGAAAAGCATTCACAGCTCCTGCCCCATGCCGTGTATCCTATGAATACTTATTTAGCATTGTTATCTAACCAGAATCCTCCTGTCACATAAAATATCCCATTTGCTAAGTAGTTTGAAACTTCAGTGATATAAAGCTTGATAGGAAACTGCAAATTGTGAAACTTACTGCTTTTATCTTTACACCAACAAAACAAGTTAAAAACTTAGAGAGATTACTTTTCCAGTCATTATCAGTGTCTTAACTAGGTCATTTGAAAATATATGATACTTCAGAGAGCCTTAAGTGTCATTCAGGCATCATTTTACTGTGTGAGCACACATGTGATCCCACAAAAAGCATTTCAGAGTTGTTTCAGAACTTCAGACTGCATCTTCAATAGCTTTACCAATTATAGCTGGAAAAATAAGTAGCGTTAATTCATCTGACAGTTAAGACCTTCTGGTTTTGAAGAGCAGTGGGCATGTTGCTTCCAACATTTGTATTAGCATAAAATCATAGGGGTGAAGAGGTCCTTCATTATTCACCTGTGTACTTCCCCACTCCGAGGCAGGAAAGCACTGCACGTCACTTTTCAACCACTGACGTAATCTGTTCTTAGAAGTCCCTGCAGGAACAGTGTCTCCCAGCAGCACCCGCTCCAGCGTTTCCCTATTTTTACCACTGGCATGTTGTTTTAAATCCCTGATCCAAGCCTTTCCCGTTGCAGTTAAAGTTTCTTAGATCCTTATTAGCTGCCACGGACATGTACAGACTGTTCCTTCCCTTTTCTTGTAGCTTGTAGGTAGATTTGTCTTACTCAGTCACCCCAAACACGCTATCCTTACCTGGATCCAGACATTAACAATATTAAATGAGAAAAATCAACATAAGTGAACACTAGTAGTTCTCCTAATTCTAGAGGAAAAAGATTGACATTATTCAGTAGGAGGAAAATATTTTATTGTTTTCAGGATTATGATGTTTAAAACCAAAGCAAGAGCACCATGACTTGCTATAGCTGCGTCACACACGATGCAGACAGGATGATACACTATGTCTTCTAAGACAATTTGATCATTAATGAGATATTCAAGTTTCTAGGCTAGCTACTGATACTGCTAATGTGTTCAAATTGATACCAAGAAGTGGAAAAATATTAAAAAGCTTCCCTAATATGAAACAACCTTCATTAGCATACATCAACCATTAATGCACAGTTGTCACCTGGGGTTACTAAAGGGCTGAATACAAGAAAGTGGGGAACTTTATTAGCTGTGTATCAGATTTCTTTTGTTTCATATTTCCTGGGTTTATCCCAAGCCTTCATTACAAGAAAATACCCTTAATGAGTTTTATCCTTAAGTTACTGATATATATCCCTAATTTAAGCTCTTTCAAAAGCATTTTAGGGTTTTATCTCTCTGTTTTTGTTGGTTTTTGTTTGGTTTTTTTTTTTTAATCGTTTCCCGTGTAACAATCACCAATTTCCATAGTAAAAGCAAGTAGTTTCACCTCATTTCAAGTTGCAAGTAAAAGTGAGATTGCTTAACAAAGGACCAGAATTAACTAATTCATCTGTAGCCTCATTAACCTAGAATCACAAATAGGTGCCTGCCTCTAGCCGAGATTGGATTGTCAAGGCTGAGGTGTCCTGACAGAGTTACTCAGCTACTGGTGCCTGCTGCACCATTAACCTAGTTCTTTGGTTTTGTAACCTATACATTTTGCACCTCTAGGCAAAATTGACCATTCTCGAAGAGTATTCACTGTTTACCTTTATTCTAGGCTCCTGCAGTTTCACACCAGTGACCTCTCTTAAAGAAATCTCCATTTCTGCTAAAACCTGTTGCCCTTCTGAAATCTGTTTCCGCAGAGCATTATAATCCTCAATCAAGCCAAGAACGTGGCGCCCGTTTTTGTCTGCCCACATACGATGCCCAGGCACAAGACGAGGGGTACGCGCCGTGCTGGAAGATGAAGTGCTGCTGCAGTGTGATGCGCTGCCTAAATCGTCTTCAGAGGCTGAGTGCCTACCTGGGACAGAAAGAAAATTTACTTTATTTTACTCTTACATGTAGAACTACTTGACCCCAGACTCCTCTTCAACAGCAAGTCTGGGATGCTGAGAACACACACGTTTAAGATGCTTCTGATGTACCTGTTTTCGCTAGCGAAAAGCAATGTCCGTGTTTCTGCAGCTCGCACGTGTTCGTGCTGGTAGCGGGGCATCTGCAAAGGTTTCCTATCCAGAAAAACAGGACAAGGAAGAGTGTCTCAGTATGCATTTAAAAATACTTCGTAGCTCTACTTCTGTTCCTTTTTTTTTTTTTTCTGCTGATGCTGCACTTGGACTCAGGAAGCAGGGAAACAGCTAATTTTCTAGTACCACACCAGGTATCTTCCAGTAATTAATGAAGTAACTGATTAATCTTTTAAGCCTCTACCCAAATTTCTCTCAAAATCAAGTTACAGTCAGAAAATCTAAAATGCATCTTGATGAAGGTATTTTAATCCATAAATATAAGCTTCCCATTAGCTCCACAAAAGGTATGACACTCTCCACAGCTATACTAAAGATCCTATCTATATCCTCCCCTCTTCAGGCCTTCCGAATACCTTAGGTACCTATGAGGAAAGACTAATCACAGTACATCTAGAAAGATAACCAACTCAGCTGTTGACATTCCTAGGAGTCTTGCTGGTCCCTATCAAACTCAGCTGTTGTAACTCTATTCACCCTTTCCTCAAAGAAATGGCAAGCTTCTCCAGCTCCTAACTACTCTACCTGACACTGGTCAAAAGCAGCATCCAGGATTCTATCCAGGAACCAATGCAACGTGGGGATTCTGGTAGTACAGGTTCCCCAGGATCGCTGTTCCACATCTACTAGATCATGACTGGCCCCGAGGAACCATCCCCAGATGGAGAACACGACTGTAATTCAGTGTTCAGGTATGAAGAGCACAGGGAATGGTAGCATCCCGTAAATGGTATCCGCTGCAATCTGCATCTTTCTCACTTGCACAGAGCAGCACAGAGTTACGCTCATTATGTATTTCACCTGAAGTACAATTCTGATCAGACATGGACCCACAAAAGAAGAAAGGTGGTAAAAACCCCTGTTGTGTCTCATGAGCTCTCACGCTAACCCTCTGGCTGCTGCTGCTCGCTCTGTATGGTGCAGAAGGTTTGGGTATGCATGTTGGGGTGAGGGCTATGGACCCCAAAACCCCCATTATTACTGGTTCCCATAACAGGATGTATAGCACCACAGGGAGTAGGAGAGGTGGCTTTATGCTGTAAGTAGGGAGAGCTGTTACTATGCAGAGTACTTTAGCAGCAAGGGAGAACGTTCTTGTGCCCTCTGCATCCCATGTACATCTATATCGGGACTATAATCTAACCCCAAGTGTAAACACTACATTTTCCCTGATTTGCTAAAACAGTATCACTTAACAGTGATTGAAATAAGGCAAAATATTCCTCAAGGGCAAAAAGGGGACAACTGATTTATACAAAGACCATTTAGTGCACTTATTGATCATACTTGAGTGCTACATCGTCACCCTCAGCAAACGCTACAGAGCTCTGCATTAAAAAAAGAACTCCCAGGTAAGCAAAATTTATGGCAATTTAAGGTAGGCATCCTTCCATCCCAGAGCCTGTCCACTACTGCTCTTCGTGAAGGAAAAGGAAGTGCCAGTTGGAGGCTGCAAGACAGTGCAGTGTGCGTTTCACCCCCCAAGCACTCAGCCCTAACAGGAATGCGATCTGAGAGGCTGACAGGCAGCTCCCAAACGCTGCTGTTGTATAAGGCTTTAAGAGCATCCTTAAAGAACAAGGCACAGGTCCTACTGCCTAACAAAACCATGGGTGGCACAGTACCATTCATTCCCGCACAGTGCTGCAATTCCTCATTCAAAGGAGGGTTGATATTCACAGCCGACACCGATCCCACTTCCTCCCTCTTTTCTTTTGAAAGCTGTTCCTCTAATTTTTCCTGCAAAGACTTGTTTGTCTCTATGCTTCTTTCAAGCTGCACTCGCAAACTCTGTATTTCAGTCAACAGCTCGTGTAACTCAAGTGGATTATTAGGATCTTTTCGGAATTCTTCTGATGCATCACATTTGGGATCTGAAACAATTTCAAAAGAAGTACTTAACAACTTTAACAATTAAAATCATATTAGCCATTATCAGAATGCTGGGCAAGTAAATTATAACCAGCTTTATCCTCAATATTTAGAATTAACTACAAACAGCATTAAGAGAATGGTTTTACAAAAAGCATGTCTTAATCGCTTCTACCCTCGAAAGACTTAGAAACGAAAATTATTTTTCATTTTGTCCATAAAAGCTACTATGTCTCACGCCAAAAGAAAAAATATAATAAAAAGAGAATGAAGAGGATTTATGAAATTTGAAGTGCATTAATGCACAGTCTGGGGAAAGAAAAAGGAATAGGTAATCTTGGAGTGCGGAGGAGGGATGGAGTAGAGTTGGGAGTTTAATTTTATACACAGGAAAAAAAAAAAAAAATAGTGATCACCTGGCAACCAGACGAACAAATCTGAACCTGAAAAAAAGCAAGGGCTGAGTTTGTCTTTTCACAGAAGGAGGTCAGTACACAAACAATTCCATGTGTTCTTCCATGCTGAAATCAAACTGTTCTCCTGACAGTGGGAAGGGGCTCAATTGCATGAGGAAGGTGCTGCTATTCTCTAATTACATTACCAGTTCTGCAAGGAGACTGACTTCCAGCCCTCAGCCAACTTTTCTTAAAGCCTCATGCCAACAGGGCTCTTCTGCTGCAGCTAGGCAGGAAATACAGTGACGGCAGGGCATGTTGCTTAAAGTAGCAGGAAGGAAGAAACTTCAACTTGTACAAGAACTTTCCAAAGGGAAATTGGCTGGATCCTGTAACGAGCGTGCAGCAATGAACAGCATTCCACTTTCTGACCTGACCATACCAACAGCTATGAAGTGGTATGGATTCCTTAAAAAGGGTAGGAAGAACTCAGGTAAGTCTCACTCCTACCCCTCACCTGTAGTGACAGAAAAGCGGGCAGGAAATGATCTGGTTCAGAAGGCAATGCCAGCACTTCTCCCTGCCCTAGGGAGAAGACACTACCCTCGAATGCAGATAAGAGAAAGCACAAGCTACCCGAGTAAGCACTGTCTGTGAGGAGGCAGCAGCATGCATTTAGATGACAAGTAAATATCCAAGATCCCCGTGAAGCTTATCCAGCCTGAGCCACTGAATCTTCAATATTTGTTTTTAGCTTAGCTGAAAAGATAAAGGCAGCTCGGGTGTGCCTAGTCAGAAGATATCTCCCATCTCAACCCCAGTTACGCTCTTGCACAAAAAGCGGTGTTTTATCAAGTTGTTCATTCTACTTTACACAGCAGACACCAGCAGAAACAAACGGTGATGTAGCCCTACTGTCCTGTGACAAGATCGTATGTAGGGGGGGAAGGGTTGCAAGGGCTAAGGGTACAGAAATAATTCTGCATTTATACCTGTCCTCTTCTTTCTTGCTTCTTCCAAGTTTTCATAAACCTTGATCTCAGTTCGGAGTGACTGCAGTAACTTCTCGTTCTCTGAGAGCTGGTGCTGCTTTACATTAATTTCTGTTTGCAACCTGTTAAGTCCCAATACATGGCTAAGTTAAAAGGCAAATCCTTATCTTTCGTTCCAAAATCTAAAATCCATTCTCCTTTCCTCCGTAATTCTTCCCTTGCCTTTTGAATACATCTACGCACCTCATTACTGTTAATGGTTATGGCTAAACACATGCTTGTCACACTGACAATTTTCCTCTCTAAATGAATGTCTACATGTGGACAGAATCAATACCTGTTTAATTCATTCCGACTGCTGTAAATCTGACACGTCAGATATCTGGTTTCATCCTCCTTTTGGCCAATCTGTTTTTGCAACCTTTCATTTTCTTGCTTGATGCATTCATAATCCTCATGAAGATGCTCAATGATCACATTCTTTTTAGAAAGAGATTCTCTTAACTTTTCATTTTCCTTTTGTTTGTCTGAAACAAGAAACACAAGGTATTTGCAATGCCCACAACCCACTACAGCTACGCTTTTCAATAAAACCAGATTTTGCAGGGAGTGTCAGAAAATAACAGCTGCTCTTGTGAGTTTCAGTATTTCAATTTTCTAAGAACTTTTGCTAGAGGGATTTTCTGCAACGTGCAACATTTAACCCCCGTGACGCACAAAGGCTCAACAAAAACCTGTGTACAGCCTTACATCCCAAACGCACCCAATGCCTCTTGGAGTCTGGTCAGAAGGATAGTCTTCAACAACCGCTGTCAGCAGGGTCCCAAACCAGCAACGTGAATTTTGTCAATCCTCCCAAAATATCGGATTTTACTTGTCTTTAGGAAGAAAATAACTTAGTAGGATTGTTCTAGGACATGTTGCATCCATGTTCCTCTTTGTCCCACAGAAATCCCTCTGTCCCCTCCTTCCCAGACATACTCATCTGCCGAATGCATCATCCTGGCCCTTCTATCCTTGGCACAAGCCATTTTCTCCAAAATGGTTTGGACAAGGAATTGCTGACAGGGGCAACTGAGCATTTTAAGACAGCTGCTATCAGAGAGGCTTATGGGGACCCCGATTTTTTAATGACCCTACATTTAGCACTGGAAAAGGAGGCAGCAACCTTGGCAAAGAAACGGCAAGGAGGAAGCGTTCCACCTCTCAACAATCTGAAAAATCATTCCCTCCTCTTCAATGTTGAAAACATAGGGAAATGGTAATCCCAGCCTGCTGTTAAAAATGTGCAGCACCGGTCTTTCACACCAAAAACCTAAGCTAAGACTAGACAGAAAGCACCTGAGACCAAAACATGAAGGAAGTATTTCAGAGGCTTTTCTTCCTCTAATGCATCCAGGCATAAAAGGAAAAGAAGATCACCAGCTCCAGAGATACTCACGCTGTTTTGAAACACCAGGGTGACAATGCCCTGTGCATCATGGTTCTTATAAAAAAGAAACCCTGACGTTATCAGACCCCATTGTTGCACACAGAAACAAACAAAAGCAGGCATATATTAATTTAAAAAGCAGAACCTGAACAAACTGATAAGCACCAAGAAGCACTAAAACAGACGAGAGAATACATGACTAGAAGAAGCACCAGTGTTTTTACACAAGCAGTACCAAAACATGGAGACTTGTAACCTAATTGTAACTTAAGCTGCTTTTAAGAATCCAGTTGTCAAACTGTCAGTTCTCCTGGCGGGGAAGAAGGAAGCCTTTTAATATTCTCTCTTCACAGGTGTGAAAATGAGGGAAGTTTAAAATCAATCTCTGAAATCACAGACTTCCAAACAGATTCCCTCCGTTCTGTTCTCTTCTAAATTGTTTCCACAAACAAGGTGACTTGGTCTGTCCAGTCACCCTCTGCAGCAGACTTCTGAACCTTCCAAGCTCCTCTGTACCCAAGAGTTTCATTTGCAGCACTAATGCTATTCTATGGCTTTTTGGGGGGTATTTTTGTTTTTTAGAGAGCTTCAGACTGGAAACAGAGAGAAAAAAGTGCTAGAAATGGTAATAGAAGGCAGAGGGGGGAAAGGATACAGAATGTACAAAGAGAAAGGAATGCAAAAAGAAGAATGGAGAAATGAAAGTGAATATCATATGGAAAATGCTAGAAATAAACAGAAATATGGAGCATTACTGCTGCTCCTTTACCACTCTTAGCCCAGTTTTGATGCTTGTGGTTGAGCATGGAGTTTCAGGGATGGCAAGAATGGTTAAGTCAGTTTAATGAATGGTCTATTACTATTTTCTTGTTTTCTGATCTGAAATGAGTCACAGTCAGCTCCTGTAAAGCACCGTTTTACATTTTTACCTCTGGATCCTTTTGCTAGCATCACGTTCAGAACTTGATTTTGCTTCCTCAGGAAATGTATTTCAGAAGTCAGGGAATTATGCTGCTCTGAGCCATGGATAAAAATGTTTGCAGAACCTATAAATATATACATAAAAGATGATTTATGAGTCATCTCTAGGTCATTAAAGATTAAACTTTCCAGACAAGAACAATTTAAAAAATTGCAGAAAAACATGTTACGAAAGAGATTTCTCCCCTATATATTTTGAAGGTTATCCCTACATACTGAAAGGCCGTTCAGGTTAATGCCAAGTAATCCAAAGCCCTGCAGCACAAGCACCTCTCATTGCTGGGCGACCATTACCAAAATTGCAAAATTATCCCTGGCAGTCTTTACCTATCAGCTAAAATTCCAGCCGGACAAGATGCAGGAGTGTCCTGTGACATTGCTATCCTCTGAAAATAATGCAGATGGTATGAAGGTTTACCCCATATTTCAGTCTGGCTCTGTTCATACTCTGTTGTATTTAATGACACCGTTGCAGAGGAGCACTAGATTCTACAAACTGATCCCCGGTGGGCAACGCAGGGAGTCTGGTATTACACCTGTTAGCACGCCGGTCCAGCATAAGGCTGGAGTCGCTGTCTTTGCCTCTGCTTACAAACCCAGAACCCATTTAAGATCACAGGGATGAAGACTAGGTATGTGAGCCAGCGTTGATCAACCTGCAGCTTCCATCAGCAGTCTTGGGCAGAAACAGACGCCTTCAGAGAGCGACTTATCTGATGTATCCCCTTTGCAGATGAGATGCCCTGTCCTACAAAGAGACATACTTCTCTCCAGTGCCTCCATGAGAAGCTTAGGGTAACGGGCACAGATTCAGATGTCTGACATTTTAGGGTGATGAATCCTACTCTGAAGATCTTATTGTGTTAGTCACATGGATATAAATGTTAAATCTGGCAGCCCAGAAAGCCAACCATATCCTGGGCTGCATCAGGAGAAGCGTGGCCAGCAGGTCAAGGGAGGGGATTCTGCCCCTGTACTCTGCTCTTGTGAGACCCCACCTGGAGTGCTGCGTCCAGTTGTGGAGCCCCCAACATCAGAAGGATATAGACGGGTTGGAGTGAGTCCAGAGGAGGCCACGGAGATGCTCCGAGGGCTGGAGCCCCTCTGCCGTGGGGACAGGCTGGGAGAGTTGGGGGTGTTCAGCCTGGAGAAGAGAAGGCTCCGGGGAGACCTTATAGCACCTTCCAGTACCTGAAGGGGCTACAAGGAAGCTGGGGGGGACTTTTTACAAGAGCCTGTAGTGACAGGACAAGGGGTAACGGGTTTAAATTTTAAGTGGGGAGGTTTAGATTAGATATCAGGCAGAAGTTCTTCCCAGAGAGGGTGGGGAGCACTGGGACAGGTTGCCTAGAGAAGCTGTGGATGCCCCATTCCTGGAAGTGTCCAAGGCCAGGCTGGATGAGGCTTGGAGGAACCTGGTCTAGTGGAAGGTGTCCCTGCCCCTGGCAGGGGGGTTGGAACTACATGGTATTTAAGGTCCCTTCCAACCCAAACCATTCCATGATTCTATGAAATCGTGTATCCAGCCAGTCAAATTCCAGTCTAGGCAATCCTCTAAATGCCCTGTATTTATGCCACTCATCCCACAGCGATGTGTAATTTTACAGTACTGTCTGAAAAGTGCCACGTTCCACTCTCAAGGTGGCTGCCTCTGAAATGCAAGTCAAGTAATTGTTATTGCCCTTTATAACCTGCTTCTAGTCAGTAAAACACTTCAGGACCCACTGGAATTAACATTACTATTAAAAGTATTTTTTCAGTTGATTGGTTATCCCACTATCTCCTACGCTTTAAAGCTCGAGATAACTACATGAGTGTCAACTATTTGGCTAATAGAGAAATAACCAGCTGGCAAAAAAATTAGCTGAATGTATGAGGAGGATGCCTTTCAGCTCTGGCAGTTCAATTCAATTTGATGTGCTGCACTTCCTCTGAGTAATCTCATTTTATTGTAATCCCAATTGAAGCTTTTACCCACTACCTAACTGGGATGTAGTGTCCCATGATATGCACCTCTTGTCGTTACTGAAAGACTCAAAGGCTCTAGAAGCCTGGCACTAATGGCATTTTACTATCTATATGTTAAAGAGTTGAGGTAGCTATGTGAACTCAAAAGGCTTTCTCCTTTCAGATTTTAACAAAGCAATTCAACTTGAAGTGGCAAGGCTTGATGGTCTCATCTTGATTCTAATTTAATTTATTGCCCATCACCCAGCTTTATCCTATTTGAAAAGTTATGCTATCACAGTTCTACTGAAAGGCTTTAGAATATAACTATTAGTTATCATACATAATAAGGGATAATGTAGAGCCAGTGGTAATAAGGCCACAATCCTGCAATTTGACCCACTACTGAGACTACTACTTCTGTGTGGAGCCCTGCTGACATCAATTACGCTCTCTGTAAATGCAAAGGTCCATCTAACCAGAGCAAAGTGGAGCATCAGGGCCTACAATTGCAATACACTTGAGTTTTCATTATGTTTTGCGCTGAAAAAGTGAGTGCTAAGGAAGCGTACCTTGAAGGTTCAAAGGAAGCACTGACTGAAAGACAGGCAACTATTGAAAATCACAGCAGAGAGGAAGGAAATATTCATTCCTAGGTGAAGCAAAATAAAGGCATACTAAAGCTGAAGGTAAGTAGATATATTAGTTACTTATGGGTTAAAAAAGGCAAACAAAAGCCCCTTTTAATGTTAACCGCCGTTAATAACATTTGAATCCTAGGAAACTCAAAATTAAACCCTTGATTTTATTTTGAAGCCTAATGCTTGAAATGATTTCAAGCAATTATTTTAGTCCTACTTGCACTGCAAACCTCAGCTCTATAGTAATGATGTAGTCATTACCAGCACTTGAGTCATTTATGGAATACTAGAAGCCCAGAGGCATTTAAATACTTAGAGAACCTCAATATTAAAAATAGCATGGCAAAAATAGTGGGCAGATGTGTGTGTATACACCCACTTATCAGACAAGAATAATTCTATGCATTAAGTTTGGTTGAACAAACAACTCGATATCACAGGAATTTAACAGGCTCTCATCAGCAATTAAGTATGTTACAATTTGGCTTGGTTTTTAAAGGAAAACACACTAAGGATACCAAGTTAAAAGTAAAAAATTGGTTTGAATTATTATGTCCTAATGCTAAAACCTGCTTCAACTTCACTTTGGAACTTCTTTTTACACTGAGCCAAAAAAAAGCCCATTTCTTAGAAAAAACGTAGCATCATTACTGGAAGAGAGAACAGGCACATCTGATAACATGAAAGAGATCCTCAAAACGGAGAGAAGCAGGAAGCACTGAAGGAACATAATTACAAAAAGGAGCTTCTCTAACAGGTAGTTGTTTTTTTTCCTCTTTTCCAAATTTCTCCTCCGTGCATTGGTAGACGCACTAAGGCAACAAGAAGACAGATGGAAGGCGTAAGACAGTTTATAAAGAAAATATACTTTCACTGCATTAATGGATGCCCTTGCCAGAATCTTTATGAAGCTGTAAAAGAGTTGGAAGTGTTTCAGTGTGTTATTTCACGAGAACAGTATGCCTTTCCAGCAGCGTAAATACTTCATGAATGAAATGGATGCTTTTGATACACCTTTCCGTCACTGTAAATTATTCCTGAAAGCAAACTGCCATTTGCAGGTAGTCTCCATTTCAACAACAAGAGAAACGGATCAGGGGATGATGTAAAACATAACGAATTTAATGTCAGTATTAGTGAAGCTGAGTAAAAGGAAAGCACATGTGTATTTACCGCCCACTTCCACTCTGAGCAATATTGCATATTAATCAATTGCCCGATGGGGGGAAACGTGGGAAGAAGAGCAAGAACGGAGTTAAGTGTGGGAAGGTATGCCCGGTACAGCATGCTCGAAAAGGTGCTGCACAAGCATCCTAATGAAAGCCTGGCTACCCTCCTGTGGAAAGTTTTAAATGAGCCACAGAGCTTGGCTTTCAAACATGCTGAACAGTAGCAACAGAGAGCAGCGGCTCTGCATCTGCATTGCTATTTTTAATATTTTTCATCCACCGCTTTATATTAGAGTGTGGAATGAAAACCACCTCTGGGTTAAAATCTCCATCAGTTTCTGTCAGGTATTTCTCATTAAAAACTGATGATGCCATTTTGTGTAGGACACATTTATCATGCCAATCAATTCAAGTGACAAGCTGAACAGCATGGCCTGGGCTCTGTCTTACAGATATTTTGTCCCTGTGTATAAACACGAGCTGGCTTTAAAGCAGTCAGAAAATTCCAGAGAAGGCATCTCCAACACCCCCGTTAGCTGTGGGGCTGCACTGACAACCCCAGGCATACACGGAGTAAGCGCAGGAAAGCTAATTCCACTGAATTCCTCCTCCATACTGGTTGAAATATGTTGATAAAATGGGCTTCCTTTGCTGCAACCGTCCCTGGCCGGACATGGCAAAGGATTAAGAGAGGCTGACATCTTAAAATCCAAGACCAGTACAACAATAACGATATCCCAAAGGAAAAACAATCAATCCAGGCTGCCGATAACAGAACTAGAAGGGTCTTTCAATTCTCTGTATGAAATTCAACACAGCATCACGAAATGTCATCCAAGTACCTGGAGTGCTGCTCTCTTAGCGATACCTGCTGTTGTACGTTTGTGTTCGTGTATCCCATAACAAGATTTGTGCATTGGTACTGGACACACTTCAAGCAGTGGACTCAAGGAAAAGGCACACTGGATCTGTATTTATGCCACTCTACAGGCAGCATGGAAAAGCTGTGTCTGCTGATGGAGCTCAGGATGCAGCAGTACTCAGAGAAAGGCATGGCATTTTCCAACTGTAAAGGGGTGGGGCTTATGCAAAAAAAGCACAGAAAACATTTCCAGCAGCATTTGATCCCTCAGGCTTTAAGTGGGAAACGTGAATTTAATTTGTCATTAAATAAATTCTCACCTTGATCTAGTTCCTTGTCCGTTACTTGTCTCTCAAGCTGCCTCCTCAGCCTCTCATTAGTTCTTATGGAGTATTCTAAACGTTGTCTCAGGATTCTAATTTCTTGCAGATGCTCCATTAATAACTCTAAATAAACCAAGAGACCACTTCTTATTTAGAGTAAATGGCTGTGTTCTTTACACTATGTATTCCTGCCAAATCTAATGTGTGTGAATACAAAGAAATGAGAGACCTGTTCAAAACAGACATTAAACAGCCGACCCCACAACAGCCTTTTTCCATACAGTGCCCAAACCCTGCGTTCAGTGAAAACTCCCACTCTGCGTTCTAACTTAGACAGCGGTCCAGTTTTAGGACTCCTTAAATTTCTCCTTCCTACATGACTGTAGTAGATAACAATTTCACCTAGGTAAAATGCTCCCCATACTTGGAAATAAACCCAAAGTTCTGCAACGCGGCTCACATGCAGGCTCGACACACCAGTAGTATACATTTTTCCTTGTAACAATAGGAAGCTCACCAGAGTAACTCAGATATAAATTTGACTTTGACTTACACAGTACGTACCATAATAAATAAATCTGTTCTATCAAGTTTCATTACCGTACCTTTTCCTTCTTGCTTTGCCACGCTACAATTTTTCTTCCATTGGCTGTAAGTTTCAGCTTTCCTCAGGAACTTATCTGTTCTAACTGTCACCATCTTATTTGTCAGTTTATCCATGTCATACACTCCTGGTTTACTCTGCAGTATTTTTCTCCTGAACAGTACGTGCTATCTCAGCTATTAAATTTTCATCGCTGCCTATAACAAACTACTGCAAGCATCACTCGTGCTTAGTGAAACTATCCAGGTCAAACATGACACCACTTATTAATTATGCAGCACTTACAATTCTCAAGGAAACACAACACTGGCTTTTATAAAATTAGAAAATCTCTCTTTTTCAATGTAACAATCTCTTGACAATTGTCTATTTTCCCCTTATAACTTGTCTATTTAAAGACCGTCTGGAGTACTGTAAAAGATGATAGTCTAAAACAACAAAGACACAAAATATCATAGTTAATTTTGTTTCAAACAGGAGGTAGTTCAAACCGTTGTCAGCTCTGTCTGCCTTATTACTGAAATTGCAATGATTATGCAAGATACTGGAAAGCTGAAGCAGACAAACATTCTTCATTATTTCTTAATTAGTTCCCTTGTGTCTTATTTATCACATTTTCCCAATATCTAGTGAATCTTCAGTGGGGAAAGAAAAAAATCACCTGGGGGAAATTGGTTTGGCAGAAGCGCCAGCGCGCCGTGCTGTTCTCCTAGGCCATGCTCAGGTGATCCAAGAGATGACTTCTCTGACAAATCAAAGTCAGACAAGCTCTGAAGAGCAGATGGTACAGGTGATTCATCCTTCAGTTGCTGGTACATCGTGGTGTTCTTCTCATTATCCCTTTTGTGCCAAATAAAACGTTTTAAAATAAAAAAGTTATTTTATTACTTCGAGAGCAGGACAGAGCGTGGTGTCAAATCTACAGGGCACAGGTAAAGCAAGTGAATTTACACGACAGCACGTGACAAAGCGCCACGCATTGGAGGTGTGTATCAAGGCTGGAATTCAGACCTCCCTGCAGTCAGCAGGGAGATCCAGCAGACCTCCAGCCAGCGTTCCCATTCCAGCTCTAGGCTGTCACCTTCGCGTTAGGGGAACCTCAAGCTGCCTCCAAACAGCTGAGGATTTCTTAGCACAGAAGAATCCCAGGCCGGCATAAAACCAACACATGCGGCACAACACCACCTGCCCTCTTCACCTCCAGCATAAGGGTGTTTTGAGAATGAAGCACTGTACTTCGGTGATCCTGAGCCAGCCCCAAGGTCACGGAAACAGAAAGGCAGCTGATTCTCCCTCCCAGCAGCTGCAACCAGGGTAATACCTGAACATACATGACTGTTACGGCACGTGTTCTGTTTGTTCATGCAAGGCACAATCCTGGTAGCATGATGCTTCCCCTCAGTACCCTCAGCTGTTTGCTGAGAAGTGAGGAGAAAAGCCTTAGTTTGTTTTCTATGGATATAAACCAAAAGGGATATATAGTGAAATGGCTATTGATGAAACAGGCAGCATAGGCAAAGCCCTCCAAAAGAGGAAATCAGTGGGAGTCAGGCTACAAAACATGGAACGTCCTCATCAACTTCCCAAACAACAGCATGGTTGAGAAAGATTCGGTTGCACTCTTACCTTTGAGCTAATTCATAAAGCAGAGTAACTTCTGTACCTATTGATTCTCCTGCAAAGCAGAAATATCTGAGTAAATACAGACATTGAGAATTATTTCCCCTCCATCTCAAACTCTTTAAATACAGAATGGTAAATTAATGAGAAATTAGAGAAGTCAACAGATACTTAGCACACTGTGTATTAATGTGAAACACCGTACAGGAACAAACTATTTATAGCCCAGCAAAAATGCAAGAGCTTTCTCTGGAGTTCAAAAAAAATTACTAGCGACCACAGGTGCTGCATTTTACAGCCCTGGTGCACACAGATGTAAAATATTGTGCTATATGGCAAAAGGATGTACATGCTACTGCTTCAATAAAAATTATCTAGAAACAATTCCATCCCACTTGGATTTTGTCCACCCAGAGCCAGACTAACCAGTTATCCTTAAGCAAGGAGCATACACAGGAATTTGCCAGCGATATTCCCACTGGTATAGTGTGTGAGCCCAGGCACAATTCAGTGCAAGAGACACTAATCTGAATAAGGAAATAAGAGTTTTGTGGTGTCACCTTGGCTCCCCGTATTTTAAATTTTTTGTGCAATTAAGCAAAAGTGGCAGGCGAGAGTTGCACAGCTGAAATTTCAGGGGAATGAACTGAAGGTCAGGAGGAAAATGCAGAGACAGACGGTTGTTTATGTTTCTTCTTTACAGTCAATTCTTAGTACGCTGGATGTTCTTTATAACCCTACAAACATCATTTTATTTTAATGTGTGATTCAGTGCAACACCATTGTGTTAGATATATTGAATTGTCTCGGTTGTCAGTGACTTTTCATAGTATATAGGATACCATCTGTTGGTTTGGGGATTTTTTTAAAGGCATTTAATGTTTATTCACTACATAGTCTTCTCATTTGTAATGCAAGGAATCTCTGTAGCCACTGAAATCATTGAATACACTCAATCTTTTATTAGACTGCTATGACACACTAGCCATAATATCTTTTTCTCATATACAATTCCTTTATACGAGCAACATATAAAAAAAACCTGTAACATGCTGCCACTATCTAATCAAAGGCAGAATACAGATCATTCTACGGCTGGGCCCTGAGTGTTTCTCAACAAAGTGATCCTCCAGAGCCGATTTCAGGAAGATGTAGGGGTCAGGGTCCCTATTTCAGGCCACTTCAAGTGTTTCGCTGAAGATGTCAGTTTTGTAGCTAACATCTGTGGAAGTATTGCTAGCTGTTTGGGTCAGAAAGAGCTGCTCTTGTAGAAAAAGGTCTGTCTTGCTCAATTTCACTCATGTTAGCATCCCCTTCCCATCACCTGGCCGCTGACTTTCTTCAAACTAAACAATGAAGGCAATATGGGTCACACACTCTTCCGTCAGGTGACACATGTCCATTTTGATGTCCACTTTACGAAAGATGACTGCATTCTAGCTCCCTGTTATGAAATACAGGGTGCTTTTCTTAACCACCTAGACTATTTGCCAACAAGATGCAGGTGTCTTAGGAAAATAATGAGAAATGCCAGGAATAAAACACCTGATATGGTCCCGCTTCTTAGATGTTTAAGGCTTTGTCTTTCCAACCTAATGCTTTGCCAAACAATAGGTGGAGGTACTGGGATAAACAGCCAAAGGACAAGAGCATTTTCAGATGCATAAGCTCCCATTTTTCAGACAATATACCAGTTCCTACTGATAATTAAAAGGGCTTTGCTTACTGGTACAGGTTACAATGTCCTGTCCTGAGTATACGGTCCATTCAGCACTCATCTTCAGTGCCAGGACAACACTTCTCTGCTTGACTTCTCCTAGGACCCCTTCTCAGGAGGCTCTTGTTCAACTATTATGCCCTACAGAAACTCTCAAATGCAATACCACAGTCTCCTAAATTCATGAGTTACTCAAAACTCTGAAATGAATTGTTCTCTGCCTTCTAACCAAAGAGATTGTCCCATTCTCCCCTTTTATTTAAATTTTCTGTCTGCACCGTTTGCATTGGTTTCTCCGTAAAGTCCATGGTTCTTTTTCTTGGTGCATCCAGTCACCTGCATATGTAAAATTTAACTTACTTCCACAGGAACGTCGATAATGTGCAAATCAGAATCTTCTGACTGTTCACTACCAGATTCCTTACAGTCTCTAAAGGCACTGGCCATAGAAAATTGCCCAGATGGAGTACTATATGATAATTTCTTGTTTCACGCTAAAAGCACAGCCCAAATCTCTGCACTGCATTTACCCTTCTGGCAAGCGACCGCACTTTAGGGGAAAAACCTGAGGAACCTGTAATTTTTTCATTATAGTTAAACACAGATCGTGTTAAAAACCAGCTGTGGACCATGCCCATGAGAATCCTTCAATGAAGATATCCTGTGCTTCGGCTCAACAAAGGCAGCTGGGCTGCTTCCTGAAACAGAAAATCCTGGAGCCTACTTGTAACAAAACTTTTCCTAAGCTATAACCCCACTGCACGTTGAACAGTTAAAATATGCATGTGCTACGAGAAACAACTCAAAATGGAAGGTGTCGGTACAGAGGACAGCTACAAAGGTAAATCCAGTCTTGTTGGAGCACTAAAATTTTATCTTCCCAGACAGCCCTCCCTTTAATCATGTAAAAGCAACCAAGAGGAAGTGAGGCTACCTTTCCACTAAAAAGAAAAAAAAACCCAAACCCTTCAAATTTCAAGAATGTTGATTTATCTCAGACAACAAGCACAAAACACTCCTACTTACCGTAGAGGAGTTTCCTTTCTAGCATCTCAAACAATAGCACACTTTGATTCAGTTGCTCACGGAAGCCTTCAGCAACATAATAATCTACATCACTGGCTTGAAGCAGTTCCTCAAAAGCTTTAATAAGGCTCGTCAGATGTTGATGGTAAGTGACACAACCACTGCGAATCTCCTTAATTTGTTGGCGTTGAAAGGAGAGTTCTGGAGCTTGTGAATAAACTAATGACTCGTATCTGAGAAAATGAAATTATCTTTTAAGCAATTTTATGACCCTAAATAACATTTAAATATAAATAAAGAGTGAATTAAGTTTATATTCCTAAACTATAATTTTATGTGACTCAATTTTCTTTTAAAATGCCTTTACAACCACAATGACAAATGCATTGTCTCTAACTGTTGAGTTTTGTATTTTTGGGCATAACTTGTGGGTTATTGCCCTTCACTTAACAGCTTCATTTATAAAATAGACAGAAACTAAAGTGATGACTTGTTTTTCTGCTTGGAAATAACCTGGATGGCATGCAAAGGTGCCAAATTAAAGTAAACGAGAGTACATTAAAAGAATTTTTTTAAGAATTCACATATTTTTCCTGACTGGTTGTTTTTTGTTGATTTTTTTTTGTTTGTTTTCCTTTTAATTCACCCTTGAAGAACAGATGGAGCTGTCCCTTCTTCTGAAACTTTATGTATTTCCTGCCAGGAACATAATATTGGACTTTTTAAGCTGATGGTTTCACCCAGCCTGAGGATCCTGCTCGTCTCTGTATGTTTATTACCAGAGACAAGACCATGACAACCACTGCAGTGTCCAAATTCCAGTACTCCACATCCAGGACATAAATTTCAACTCAGAACAACTGAATTCATTCTGCAAATACAGACAACCCCCTTACACTGCCAGTTTCTCTATCACAGACAGACTTCCTTCTGCAGAATCATACATTAGGTGGGGGAGAAGGGGAGAGGATCTGAAAAGATGGAGGGAATCAAGCAAAATACGGGGCATAAACAAAATCTATGACAGTGTGCATTGTTATAAAATTTTTACTGTCATTTGTATAGGAAGAGATGCATAACTCATTTTTGGGTCTGCCACTTGCGACTCATGCAGTTGTGCTACACAGAGGCCATAAAAACTTTACAGCAATCCGTACTGTCTCATCCCTTAATTTACACCGTTAGATCTTCCTTCGTAAAATGGATGAGGTATATTTTTAAGGTATGTAAATTCATATGTACTACGTAGCACAGTGCATTTTATGATAGTAATACTAAGAGATATACAGTAGTCCATGTTGGTGGTTGCTCAGTGTCACCAAACACTTCTACTCAGGCATCCTGAAGGAAGCCAACAGGCCTTTGGTTTACTTCCTGCTGTTCTATAGGCCCTCAAGACAATAATCATGATATTAGAGGGGAAAAAAAGGGGGTGCGGGCAGAGAGTTTAAAGAAGTTTGGTCTTACAGAACCCCATTTTATGCCTGTGATTTGTATATATGCTAGCCAAAATGCTGCTCCCAGCCTTATCATACAAAATACAAGAGTGATTCTTCCAGGTTCCCATAAATGATTTTCCATCTTAGGAGATTATCCTGTAAAATTTCACTCATTAATTTTTTTATATATATATATATATGTATCTACTTTCACATCCTTCAAAGCAAGGCATTATGGCACTCAACTGCAAAGTAAGTTATAACTAGAGCACAAACTCCTGATTTTATACATAAAGGGTGGTTACACAAACAGAAGGGCTCGCATGAATCTGCCAGCCGGTTGCCCATGGAAACATTTCTATCTTAAATGGGACGTTCCATTTTCTTACACTTGTCACCTGAAAAAAACCTGTCTGATGCAAATCGGTAATAATTAGATTACAGCGGTCAGCCCAGCTCCCAGAGCAACCTGAGGAGATCTGGCTTTGCTCAAGAGAGGATGTTTTGCAGCAAAGACAGTTGTGGACCTGACTTCTGGCAGAGAATCGTTACAGAGGATGATGTGAGCTTAATCAGGAGCAGTTCTGCTGTAAGAGAAATACTGTTTTGTTCTCCAAGGCATCTTTTAACTACACGTTTCAGTTGCTTTATGTTATTGCTAGTGAAATTTAGCCTTTACTGTTACAACACACTCCTATGTGAATAAAATCATCTTCATATTACCTTCCTCTGTTATTTGGTATTGCTGTTTACAAAAGGCATCTGAAACAGTAATGGCTTTACTCACTTGGATGGTGATGTTTCTCTCAGTTTGTTCTGAAGATGATACACTTCATCAAGACGCATATTTGCAATTCGCTCTTTTTCAGGTTCTGCCTCATTTGCTGACAGTAGCTCCTTATGGTTTTCTTCTGTCCATCCATTCGGTGATGGAGACTCTGAACTCCTGTTTTCGGTATGGATCTCGTAATCCATCAGCTGATGCACACTAGCAAATGTTCTGATTTCTTGCACAGCTGTGTATTGCACTCCTGCAACATGTCCTTCCACAGGCACGGCTGTGTCACTCAGAACTATGTTGGAAATGCCACTCGACACGAGCTGGTCAGAGCGCTGTAAATTAAACACCAACATTTTGTACTTTTCAAGCTCCGACTCCATATTCTTCATTCTTTGTTTCAATTCTTCTGTATCATCTATGACTTCACAGCCATCAAGTGCATCTGTACTCATTACACTCAATTTGAGAGAATGCAGGCACTGGGAACCCGAGTATGCGGCGTCTGAGTCAATGTCCTCCTGTTCCGTGGAATAAAACTCTTCATTTATCTCTTTTAATGAACGCTGGAGATCCACATTGCTAATGTTACGATGATTTTGCATTTCTGAAAAACATGAGGCTTGCGTGTGAATATTAATATTACTTTATCTGACATTCTGTTCTTAACAGCACTAAAATGAACTCATTTACCTCTATAATAAAACGCATCATCATTACAAACTATACAAAATTAGTTTGGGACTTTTGACCCCTATGATTTGCCCACCAATTCAACTTGCACATCAAACATATCAACCCCCTTATCACCTTTCAAATAAACACTACTTAAAAATACACCTGCTTTCTTTTCCCAAATGACTGAAAATTACTTTTCCTGTAGCAAGTCCTGAATCAGACACCGATGAAGCTCAGACCTTTCCAGCCACAAAGGTGATAACCTCACACATAAGGCACTGAGATTTAAAAGCAGACCCTGTGACTTTAAGTGGTTCTGCCTAAAACTTCTAATTAAATATTCTTTTTCTCCTCACTTCAAAAATCTATACAAAACCACTTGGAGCACAAAGTAAGTGGAATTCTAAAACGATTATCAGCAAAATAGTAAAATTTGATAAAGCGGCTTTAATAACTTCATTTTAAAATGCGTTCTAAACAAAATCCATAAAAATGTTCGGTGTTAAAGGTTTTACGGGCACTCACTGGGCACGCACAGCACATCCCTTAGCTGACTTTGCCATTCATGAGTAATGCAATCACCCCAGATCAGACCAGTAAAAGCTGTATATCCCTACACACATTCTATCTTTATATTTCTGGGTATGCTGCCGGCTGTACGTGTAAGTATCGAGGAAAATGGTTATTTTCTGGTTACCAGTAAATTAAATTTTCCCCGTCTATTAGTTCTGCAGGAGATCACTATGAATTAGAACCGCCCTTTTGGGAGTCATTCATTGATCATGCAGAGGTCTTAATACTTTCAAATTGGTTTCCATGGAGAATTCGAATGCCCAGGTTCAAGCTTCAAATCAGTACACAATCTCAGGGCCGGGGGGGCAGCCGTATATGAAGGCCCAAGTCAAGCCCACGCACAAGAGAATAAAAACATATAGAACCTAAAAGCTGGAAAAAATGGAAGCTGCAATACTGGGTGGTCAACGTATTTGAAATTAAGGTCAGTGATGTTCTCTGCAGTATAGATTGCTGCACACCACTACCTATGTCATTCCAAAGGTGACAGAAATGCTTCCAAGAAAATGCCTGTGTATGAATTCAGGAAGACACACTGAATAAGGGAACGCAACACTTAAGTTCATTAGTTTCTCCTCCTCCACCAGTTGGTTGCTGCAGTAACACAGATGTCAAGGAAGGTTGCGGATCGAGATGGAAAAAAAGCAGATACTAGATGAACTCAAACTCTGCAATTCTGATTTCATGCAAACGTTCTAGATAACAAAACCAGGAAATAAAACCAGGTATTAGGGAAGAAATATTTCCGATTAGAAAACTGGTTATAGTTTTTAATGAAACACTGCCCTTTAATTCAAGGAGAACTAATAAGCTCTCCGTGCCTGTATGTGCCCCACACACGAAGGGCACACATAGGGCACGATCCTGCAGACCAACTGACTGGCATCAATGAAACTACTTGTACAAACAAAACTGACGGTGTGACCCTGGATTACAAAACTGGCCATATCCTCTGTACTCTATCCACAACATGTTAACCAGGTTATTCAAGCCCTCCCGAAAAAGACTAATAGATGATGCAGAAACACGTAATACACAGTATTAAGCCTATTTACACTTTCATTAAACGATTCCATTAGGTTTCAACCTAGTTGAATGCCTTCAAATAATTCAGATAAGCAAAATTCTATCATTCAATTGCTTCATTCCAATAGTTCATAACTAGATGCAGAAGCATTAAGTAACAAACATTTAATTTGGAGAAGAGTTCAGAAGTGAGGACATTAGCAATAGAGATCAGAGTCAGGCACACAACTCATTATTTTTACTGGAAACCAGCCTCATAAATCCCTGTGGCCCTTCTGAAAGCATAACCCTTCAAAGATGAACTTGGAATCTTAGAGCAATTAATCCATACTAGCTACGAAAATGAGATTTTAAACCTACAAATAACGGCAAGGGAGACAATTATCTGCAGTAATTTAAAATTTTGTACAATTCAGAAGAACCTAGAGTTTTAATTTCTTTTTTTTTATACACTTTAACATATAAATGCTTTACCTGGATCATTCTGCTGAGTTCTGTCCTTCGCATATTCATTCTTGTCCCACCTGTCTGGATCAACGTCTTCCAACTTGACCTGGACCTCACTATTATCCAGTTTGAGCAATGAGTCAACTGGAGAACAGCAGGGGAAGGTAAAACAGAAGGCAGTAAGTGACTAAAAACAATAACATAAGAATAGCTTAAAAAAAAAAAAAAAAAAAAAAACAAAAACCACAAAACCAAACCTGGTTCTCACAACAGAAACATTACGGATGGTTTGAAACGGTGTTTGCACGTCTTTTTAAAATACTTGAACAAACTGTAAGGATAACTACTAAGAGTGTGAATTGCAAAGGCTTCCCACCAACAAATGAAGGTCAACATGTGCAACTCCTCTTTCTAATGAACAGTTAACCGATTTTCAGTGCATTTTTATATGTTTTATGTTAAGCTTAGAAAACAGGGTAAAAAGTTTCTCCAGTATGAGCACTGACCAAAAAATAATCTTCCACAGTCTCCCCTTGCATCAAGTCTCAGAAGTACTACATGTGCAGTACAACTGCTATCCAGGGTGAAGAAATCAGTGTGGAAAGGAAATCACAGGACTGCAATCCTAACAGGTTCTGATTCATTCCAGGATCCAGTTCAGAAGTGCTTCCCTGCTCAGAATTCTCCATGGATTTTGCACCTACCAAAACACATCGCTGTGGTCCTACTGACTCGAGTACTTACACTACAGCCGTGCCCTATCTGTCCCTTGGCACAACAGTGTTATCATCAACAACAAAGCCTCTGCAACCCCTGTGTTTTGGCAGTGGCTCACTTGCTGCTTCATTGAACCTTATTTCTTATATTTACCCTTCCTCTCTCCCTTCCCCCTGCCCTTTATATGTCTACTCAGGTTTTAATTTAACTGCTAAGAGCTTTTTTATTTTTTTACCACTCCCAATCTTTATGTAATACCCATTGTTCTCTGCCTCACAATTCGTCATACTTTGCTGATCCAGACACTTTGTCAACAACTGAGTTTAAATTAACCCAGCCACACTGGAAACAGACACAGATGACTTGACTGATCAGTGGAATATTGGAAAAACTTATTTATGCAGCATAAACAAATACAGTACTTTTATACTCTCCTGTCCCCCTTACAGACACTTTTCATCAGACTTGGCACCATATAAAGGAAAGTTTTCATCTACCTAAACACTGACATATATGTGTGTGTGGGCACCCTGTGAAATTCCTATTTATTACATATTTTATGCCAGGTATACAAAGCACTTTCTATTCCACATAAAGCTGGTTTATGTTCCAGTGGCAGAGAGGAAAGCAAAAAAAAGGTGCTTTTCAAGATCTATATATATTTGCCTACCCAAGAAAATCTAAGATTAAGCAGCGTTGTACATATGTAAAAATGATCTGGTTTTACTTTCTACTAGAAGAAAAGAAGCCGTTATTTCAAGCAGGATTACAAGTCATTATGTCTGCTCTTTATTTACCTCTCATTGATGTGCTTTCCTGTGCAGGCTCTTCTGGAAGGTTTTCACCTACATCCTCATTCAATACTAACTCCCCCTTTGTTTGTGGCTGAAATTGATTGTTTTGTACTTCGTGTACCTTCAGACCTTCAGAAGGGACCCTGGTATGATGCTGTGGTTTTGAGACTGACTTCCATGCACAGGAGTTCAAAGGCACATTTCCTAGTGGTCTGGATGATTTTAAGAGAACAGGCAGACGGGACTTCTTGGGCAGGTAAGCAGAATCAGTCTGAAAAAAACATGGAATAAAATGGGGAGTTGGTAGCTCGCATGTAACAGACAAGTAAAGAAAGTACAAACAAAAATATCCCAGGAAAAATAAAAATTTTCCAGTAAGATTAATAAGCTGTCACATTAAATAGTTTTGCAAATAACATTGCAATATCCTTGCAACGTGGAAGACAAACATTCAGAGAGAAAAAAACCTGTCCCACAGCTGAATTTTCTGTAAGTGCTGCTTATCCAGCCACAGCCGCACAAGTGAACAGCTTCCAGCCCACGAAGCAAGCCAGTGAATTCACCGTTGACTGGCAAAGGCTGCTACACACTGAGCCTATCATAGAATCACAGACTGG